ACAATATTTCACAATATTGCTGTTTTTACTGCATTTTTGATCATCAAATGCGGGCTTGGTGGGCATAATAGGCTTTCAAAAACATTTAAAAAAAATTTTTTGAATGGTACTGTATGTTGGTGGATATGTTTCATCATATAGGTACATGGAAAAGTTCATTCATGTAATACAATAATTTTTTATGTAAATCCACATTTCAAATGTTAATTTATTCACTTATTTGCTAAGTAGCTAAGTAAAAACCAAAAAGGATATATACAGTGAGATGGACATTATTGCAAAATGAACCCAAGCAAGGGAGTTTGGACATTAGCACAAAGTTTAAATATTGCGCATTGTTTTACATAAGAATAAGAATAAAGGTTTTAGACAATATAGTTCAACAAAGTATGCAATACACAAGCATTCCTTTCCGAACATCCTGTAGTCAGAAAAAGAGAAGGGATAGGGAAAAAAAAAAATCCTGCAACTGTATATTACAGATAAGTAAAATAAGATTGGATGGGATAACAGGGATGAAGAAAACTGAATAAAGTAGGGAACGAGTGAGTGAACCTGCGAGGGAGAGGGAGGGAGAGGTGTTGGAAGAGTTGCAGTATATTTATTGCCTCTGTCAAGAGCTCGTTTTCACTCTTGCTTCCTGAGAGCCACTAGAGGGAAAAAGATCTCAAGCTTCCTGCATCAGAGAGACAGAGAGAGAAAAATCCTCTCACCTTTCCAGTCACGACCTCACGTTAGCCTCGGCTACATTTTGGCTGGGTCAATGTCAGAGTAACTGCAGGCTTAAACAAGATGCTCTGAGTGAGCAATCAATCCGGCTCTGTCAGAGAGAGCGCGACTGAGACGAGACGAGAGCAGAGGGGGGTGCTCATATGAGGTTAAATCAGCCATTTGAAAATATTGCAGCAATCAATATATTCATACACACCAGGCACGTGTCCTCATCCTTGCATAAACACCGAGCTAGTTTAGGCCAGTGGTGGACAGACACGTGACCAGTTTTAGGGGTCACAGATCACCCACAACTCTGGTTTACAGTACTCGAATTCTGACCTTGCAATACGAGTGAAGTCAAAATCCCACAGTCTTTCGTTTCTCCAGCTTTTTCTTGCTCTCTCCTGCTTCTGACAGGTCACAAGCTAATGATTCTGCTACCATGATGCAACAGGCAGAGCTGTCGGCTGTCAGGAGTTACATAACAATATAATAATAATAATAAATGTTAATAATTGTTTCTTGAACAGCAAATCAGCATATTAGAATGATTTCTGAAGTATCATGTGACATGAAGAC